CACTGTCCGAGAGGATGCCGGGGTACTCGACGCTGAGCAGTGTGGTGGCCGGGATAGGGCGCGGCTGGATGGTGCGTTTCGTAATGGATTCTGTAGGGGTGGCCGGCTGCGAGGGTAGGTTGGGATCGAGAGCTCGCGCCTTGCCCTTGGCTGCAGACGAGCGCGACATGACCGCACGCGCTGTGGTTCCAAACGGCGTCAAACGGCGTCAGGAGTGTGGCGGCTCGCAGTATGCTTGCATTGCTCTTGATGGGATGGGCAACCAAGTGGTGAGCAGCCAAGTGGCACTTTTTGGCGCTCCCAAGTGGAGAGCTGGGCTCCAAGGCCGAGATCCGAGCCTTTGCCAATCGGCGTTTTTCCACTCAACGCGACGCGCCGCATTTCTCCACCACTTTGCACGCTCAGCCCCGCCGTCTCTCGCGTTTGCCCCTCCCCCCCCCATTATTGCTTGAGCGCAGCGCCAGTCCAACACCCCAACACTGGGCGCGCGCGTGTCTTTTGGACTCTTTGCCTCTCCACCATCCCCTTGCCTCTGATCGGCTTTCGCGCACCATGGTCGCCTCCGAACTCACCGTGCGGCTCGCACACCACTTTGGGCCGTACATCGCAACGGACCCGGCGCTGCTCTCGGAAACCACGTCGATCTGCACCCACTACGCCGTGAGCCCCGAAGACCTCTTCTACAAGTGGGAGGCTTTCGCGTTCAACCACAAGCTGCCCAAGTCGGAGCCGCTGACGGTGGACCATGCGCGCGAGCTGCGCAAGATCGTCGCTGCCAGCGTCAACACCGCCTCGACCGATGCGACAAGCACGCCGCTCAAGCCTTCCGCGGCGCTCAACCGCGCCAAGGTCGCGCCGGACTTGAACGCGATGCTGGGCATCAAGGGCACGCCGTCCAAGGGTGGGCCGAGTGCGTTTCAGACACCGGTGAGGGCCGCGACGAGTGGCTCACCGTTCGCGCAGGCGGCTACACCCACCGCGTCGGCGTACAGGCCCGCGGTGAGCGCACGCGCGGTGGAGACGGACGTGGTCATGTCGGACATCGACTCGCCCTCGCGTGCCCCCTCGGCCGCCGGTGCTGCATCGTCCAAGCCGGCATTCTCGGTGCTCGAGTCGCTCAACGAGCATCTGGAACTCAGCGGGTCGGGGAGCCAGCTGGCGCCGCCACCGCAGGCGGGCAAGAAGGTCGCCACGCGCGTGTCGCTCGCCATGGCCACCGACCCCAAGGCGTGGAACTACCGGTACATGTTTGAGAAGAAGGACGAGCGGTCGCAAGTGCTCGACGACCGCATCGACGAGTACGCCTCGCTGCTGCGCAGCGCCTACGCGCTCGACGACGAAGAGCTGGGCGATCCATCGCTGCCGAGCCAAGAACCGATTTGGGTGGTGGGACGCATTTGCCCCGCCTTGCCCGCACCCGAAAGTTCGGCGGGGATGGCAGTTCGAGCCAAAGCGACCTTGCGCACGGGTGGCGAGGAGGACGCTTTTGCTCTGCCGAAGCTCGCCGAGACGGGGGTGGTGTTGGAGAGTTCGCGCATGATGGGGTCTGGCAACCGCACGCCGCTCGTGTTCGCACGCGGCTGCATCGTTCGACACACGCCGCAGGACCCGGGCACGGGAGGCGGGGCAACAACGCTGAGCCTGTTTCCGGGACAGATGGTGCTGTGCAAGGGCATCAATGCGGGTGCGGACAAGTTCAGCGTGAGCGAGATCTGCTTCCCGCCTCCGCTGCCACTGGCGGTGCACACGCAGGACGAGGCGTTGGACCACTCGTATGCGCCACACAAGCTCAACGGTGCTGCACTCAACATCCTCGTTGCCGCCGGACCTTTTACTTCGGAGCACGATTTGGACTTCAAACCATGGCACGCACTCATGGACCAACTCGACGCTGGCGGTATCCCATGCGCACAGGGGAGGAGAGGTGTTCCGGATACCCTGATTCTTATGGGACCTTTTGTTTCCGCCGACCATCCAGCCGTAGCTCTATCCACCGAGATGCCAGAGGAGATTTTCGCCGAGCATTTCTCGACGAGGATCGGGGAATTGGTGGGCAAGTACGCGGTTAGTGTGGTGTTGGTGCCTAGCACTGGCGACTTGTTGAACGTTCATTCGGCCTATCCCCAACCCGGGTTCGACAAGGAAGAGGCGGTGCAGTGGGGTTTGCCAAAGCAGCGCGTTCGATGTCTACCCAACCCCAGCACGTTCTACATCAACGAACTAGTCGTTGGTGCCACGACGGCGGATTCGTTGGGTGATATCAAGGCGGAAGAAATGGTGACCCGCATCGAAGCCTCCCCTAACATCACGGTTGTACCGACCGAGGCAGTGGCAGCACGCAACAAGGAAACCAACACTCGCTGGAGCCGTGCAGTCCTCTCACAACGCTCCTTCTACCCGCTATATCCCCCACCGACATCAGCCAGGCTCGCGTACGATACAAGCCATAGCCACCTTCTCAACTTCCCCGCAGTCTCCCCTGACCTCCTGCTGCTACCAAGCACAAAGATCGCCAAACCCTTCATCAGGGTCGTCGCCTCCTCCACCATCGTTCAACCAGCTTCCCTCGCTGCAGGCTCGCTCGCTTCCATCCACATCAACCCCTTTCCAAAGGACCAGCTCGACAAACAGGCTACCCTCAACGCTAACCTCTACGACCGTGCACGCATCGACCTCATCACCATCTAAAAATTCCCCCCGCAACCGCACGCAGTAAAGAATCAAAACGCCGTATGCAAATTGCTAAAATCGAATGCTGCCATGAGATCATGCTACAAAACCCCCCAAACCGGGATCCATGGAAAAAAGGTGGACTCAAAAAGAGTTGGAAGACGAAGGGTGGTATTGTGCGCTACTGGGCCAGACGCGCGAGGCCGGTGTGCAGCTGCATGCCAAACACGTCCACGTGCGGCTTGGCCTGTCGCAGCTCTGTGCGCGACGGGCGGTGCGAGAGTGCGCGCTTGTGCGGCGACGAGGCGGCGCTCGAGTAGCTCGACGCGGTATACTCGGACGCCGTCGCGGGCGTCGAGCATCGCGACGTGGCCGAACCGAGCTCCAGCTCGTCGTACTCGGCCTCGTCGGTGCTGCCCAGCTCGAGTGCACGCAGGGCAGCAGCCTGTCGACGCGCCGCACGACCCGCACCGCGCCCCCGCGACCGCCTGCCGCGCGAGCGCACCCGACGTCGCCCGCCCTTGTCCGCCTCGTCGTCGTCGTCGTGCACCGCCGGCGCGGCTGCAAAGCGCGCCGCCACCATCGGCTGGCAGCCAAAGCCGTACGGCGTGGGCAACTGCATGCCCCCACCGCCATTCCACACGTGCTGCGCCGCCATCGCCGGATAGTGCGGGTGCTGCAAGCCGTGCG